TCTAATTGACTTAGGCCCCACCCAGGTTTAACTTAGAAGCAGTCGGCACCACTCTCATCCGTGTCCATTTACTCCCTTAGTGGCAATATACCTAATTTATGAAAAATAACACAATAAATATGTATATTCAACGATATTACTTGGAAATCACACTGAATCCCTATCAACACATCATGTTTGAATTGGGTTCCATGGGTTTTGGATGTTTATTGCATAAAGAAAGATGGGGAGTTCCCCACCAAGATATTTTTCACAACTTAAAAGAAATTGAAAGCGGGAGAAGGGAATTATTGTGAGAGTGGTGTACAGAGAGGATGAATAAAAGCAAGCATAAAGAGAGAAGTTTCTAATAGAAATAAGACTCAAACAACATAGAAAAGTGTAATCTTTTCTAACTTAGTTTGAATTTTGATTCTATTAGTTTTTATTGTGAGTTATTAAGAGCATGCGCGTGTTGTATAAAAAAGAATTTCTAAGTCAATGTGGATTTTAACTCTCCACAGCTCAAATTTTCCAAAGGCAGATTAGTGACTCAAATCATGCATTCGGATTTCTGATCTCGTTTGATGGATTGATGATTGGTTTACCAAATTTTATTAAAAAATTAAAATACAAAACTATGAAGTGAAAACAATTTTAATCGACTGCTTTTGTAAAAAAAAAACCAATTAGAACTGATTTGCTTCAATGATTCCCAATTCAAATGGGCCAGTTTCGATCTAGATAATATTTGTTTAAGCATTGCCACCGCCATACACTCCATGATTTAATTTAAAAAGTCTAGTAATGCTTTACCTATCGACTTTTGCCTCCTTGATTATTCTACTCTATGTTCCTAGGGGGATGGGACCGGTATTAAAGAATGGGAAAGTATATAATAACATTATTCATTCTTAATATAAGATACCGTCCGATGTGAAATTGGGTGGTTAAAAACATGTGTGTATGTTTGCCAATTTTTTTTTTTTTTTTTTTTTTAAAGGGCAAAATCAGAAAAAAAGGAGATTATTGTAGCCAAGGTGAACCCAAAAGCTAAAATTTCCGAATGCGCCCGTTTTTTTAACCCATATAATGGAGGTGTGCCACTCACTTTTCTATTTGAACCAAGGACAGAGAAAGTCCATCTTTTGATTTTAAAGTAGGATAAGGTTCCTATGGGGCCTACGTTTTATGAAAACAAAATAAAGCACTTTTTATGAACTATCAATTTTGGCTCTCAAATAAATTTTCAAGATTGATAATCCAATGGGTTTTGTATACAATGAGACCATTTACCATTGATATAAAGTGGTAACATTTACTTACGACTATCCGATGTGGAAATTTGATAGCTTAGATGCGTTACAAAGTTCGAAAAAATTTCTTTTGAAGTTTGAGCTTGGTCAATAGAATAATTGTAGCCACCCAATTTCACATTTAATAGTCAAGCTTAATATGCCCACTTTGTACCAAAGGTAAATAGTCTCATTCTATATTTTCTCTATTGAACTTAGAAACTAAAACAATAGTACAGATTTTGCGAATCCATGAGCACTTATTTTTAGGCAAAAATTGATGGTCTAGATCATTTGTTGCAATATACACTATATTTAGAGTTTGAAATCCTATTTTTTTCATATCCATAATGTTAAGTGACAATAGGTCTACATCATGAGTCAACATTGAACCTGTACATCTTTTGTCTTAGTTATTGACGACTTAACTACGATTAACCTATAGATTAACCTATATAATAACATTATTCATTCTTAATATAAGAAACCGTCCGATGTGAAATTGGGTGGTTCAGAACATGTATGTATATTTCAACCCTATAGATTAACCTTAATTTTTTTTTTTGTTTTTTTTATAGTTGTACTATCTATGCACTTAAAGAACAAAGTTTTGAGAAAGAATAAAGTCCATCTAGTTTTTAAATGATGAGATCTTAGTGTCGAAAAACATTTTCTTTTTCATAATCATCTAGTAATTTTTAAGTAGTTCTCAAAATTTCTAAAATCCTCCCAAATAAATCTTCTAACTGAAGTGAAGGATAAAAAATGAACTATGCTCCTGACATGCAAAGTACGCGCGCCCGTAAAATTAACTAAATGCCTGTTGAAATTTTACCCTTTCAATGGGAAGTGTTATATAAGCTGTCCACTTTATATTATACGGGTAAGGTGTACCTAAAAAACCCATTAAAGATGGTTATTGCCAGGTTAGAAAATCTTAAAATCGATTATCTTCACTTTAAGATTTTAACACATTATCTTGACCATCTATTTTCAAGAATCTCAAGTGTTTTTAAATCTGTGTAATTGTCATCATTTTTGGTATTTTAAATTTCATAATTAAAAAAAACAATAGATTTTCGCATCGCTTTGCCCCACGGAAACTATATTTTAAGCATAGTTTAGAGTTCTACCTTACGTCAATAGTATAAGGGTGTCACCTTACACAAACCCCACCCTTATTCAATTGACTGTGTAGTCGTCAAAAAGTCGAATGTCAAGAAAGGGCGCTTTCTAATTCTCTATAAACATATAAATGGAGTTCTCAATATATGGCATTTTCGTCATTTGATAAAGTCTCACAATGATTTCTTGACCCATGCCTTCTCTCTCTTCCCATCATGCTGTAAAAGCAAAACTAGGATGGCGCGTGTTTGCTTGTCTTTTGGTCGGTTTTTAGAGAGAGAAACTTTCGTGTATTTTTATAAAGGTTGTATCTGAACCGGACCCAACCCGGGACCACTGGGTATATTCAACATGGATTTAGGTATCGGTCAAATATTTGGACCTTGTGGGTCGGGTTTAGGTTCAAAATCTAAACCCAATACTATTCCAGTTTAGGTTTGGTAGATTCGACCCATACATGTAAATTGTTACAATAAAATACTTGAGCCATATGCGTTTGACTATATTAAAAATTACATACAATAAGAATTATTAAACGACAAATCAGATGGGTTGAAATCTAATGACGGGATTGAAAAAAAAGTAAAAAACAAAAAAAATAAAAAAGCTCGACGGCAATAGTCCAACTTTTGGATTCGATGGGTCGGACCCGACTTGCCACCCCTAATTATTGAGTCCTGCCCTGGTGGGTAGTTTTTATAGAGAGAAAAAGGGTGGTGTGAATGTGAATGATAAGAACAATGGGTGGGCCTCCCATTTCTCTCAGTGGAGCATCCGCGCTCCTTCTCTCAGAGCTGCAACCTCAAGCAACGCAAACCCAAACCAAAACCTTTCATAGAGAGAGAGTAAAGAAAAAGAGGAGAGAGAAAGAATACAATAAAGACCACATTGCACCATTGACATCATTATCAAGCCAACCCATAATCCCATTGCTTCAGGACATGCCTCACCAACTCCTTCAAGTTATGTCCTGCAATTACTTTTGATCTCCCCCCCACCCTCCCACCCCCTCCCCCTCCCCCTCCCCCCCTCCTCTCTCTCTCCTTTTCTTGGGTTCAAGTACTTTCTCTCTCCTACTTTACAGCTTAGCCTCAAATAGTCTGTCAAATAAGTCCTCGCGATTCCTTTGCTTCGTTTGGGTAGATCACGAGCCCCTCTCTCTCTGGTTTTCTTTTCTTGATTTCTTTCTCTGTTATTTTTGGGTTAATTCTCTTGTCATCCCTCCTCTCTCTCTCTCTCTCTCTTTCTCTCTCTTTTGGATTTTTTTTCAATTTCCCTGAGTCTTGATAAAGTATCTTTTTTCCCACTCTCTCTAATTCTTTAGAATTCCTCTCTCTGGGTATCCCCTTACCTGTACTTTTCTTCAATTTGCATCAATGGATTCCTTCAACCAGTCATCTGGGTACTGTTACAGCCATGGCTCAGAAGCCATGGGAGATGCAGAGTTCTCAGCCATGCTTGAACTCTATGTCCACCATGCTCGAAACATCCATAACATCTGCATCTATGACAATCAAGATGTCTATGCTAAATTCTCTCTCACTTCTTCCCCTGATGAAACTCTGTCGACTCGAATCATCAATGGAGGAGGTCGGAACCCGCAATTCAATGAAAATCTTCAAATGAAGATCACCCAACCTGATGCAGTTCTCAAATGTGAGATCTGGATGCTCAGTCGAGCTCGCAATTACCTCGAAGATCAACTTCTCGGATTCGCACTCGTGTCTCTCTCTACAGTTTTAGGCAAGGGTAAGATGACTGAGGATTTTACTCTCTCATCGACCGATCTCATCCATTCACCTGCGGGAACCGTGAGATTGTCTCTCTTTCTAGACCCTAATTCCTCTCAGCAAAAACATATACAGGATACCATGAATTCTCAGACCCATTCTCCCTCCTCGATTTCTTCAGAGGTGGTCTTGTTAGACAGAAAGGGGGGAGATGTTGTAGACCCAGTTGAGTACAGTAGCATAGAATTCCCTGACATTAATGCAGTGAGAGAAGATCAACAGATGGTTTCAGAGTATTTTGCAACTAGGCCTAGCCCTGGTTCTCCATTCTTGCATTTGGGTTCCTCATCTCAAGGAGTTGCTGACTATGACATGACTGTAAATGCTTTTGAGGAGAATTCAACTAGTCCTGACGATTCTCCAAAGAAATTAGGAAGTGGGTCTTATCAAAGTCCAATGGAGAATCCAGATTCTTATGGAAATTCAGGAATTTTAAGTTCCACAACCACTAGTTTGAGCAATAATTCTGGGGATTCATCAGAGAAAAAGACCAATTTGGGCACCGGATCTCATGTTGGGTCTGCCTCAGCTCAGAGCCCTGAGAATTCTCCAGAGACCCCGACTTCGAAGAGAGCGAACGGAATGAGCGAGAAAGAGGAGGCCGAGAAAGATGGGCGTAACATGGGTTCTGTTGAACTGGGTTCAGTTTTCACATCTCCATTAGTGAATATAAACCTCGAGCCTGAGCAATCAGTGGTTCAACAACAAATTGTCGATATGTACATGAAAAGCATGCAACAGTTCACTGAATCTCTGGCAAACATGAAGCTCCCAATGGATCTCGACAAGCAAGGGGCCGGAGATGGTGGTGATGCTAAGCTTAGCCAGAACAAGATGGAAACAAATAAGAAGAAGGAAGGACCAAGGGTCTTCTATGGCAGCAGGGCCTTTTTCTAACTGATTAGAAATACAAGTTATGGATCCTTTTTAGGCCAACGATTTTAATTTCATATGTCCATGACATCTGCAAATAAACACAGTAAAATGAGGTAAGATGTTAAGATTCTGATACCACTTTTGATTCTGAGACCACCTTTCTCATGAGCTGATCTTACTCAAGTCTGCTTCATATGTTCATCTAAGGTTAGTGTTGACACTATTGTTGGACTGTTATAATCATGTTTTATGTGATTGTCGCAAGGCCAAACTTTTTTTTGGTATCTATCTTATGTATTTATGTCTGTAATTTTGTATCCCTTCTAAGAACATTTCCCATCGCTGATTGCTTGATATTGTAAAAGGAGCACCCATCCCTTCTTAGACCATGTTAATTTATCTTCTGAGGGTAAAATCTATGTTGATGTATTGATGCACTAACTGGGGTATTCTCTAATTTCCTGTGATTCTACTTTTGTAATTAAATTTGTCCATCATCATCATGCAAGCTTTATCGTGGTATTCTCTAATTTTGTTTGGTTTTACTTTTGTAATTAAATTTCTCTATCATCATCATTCAAGCTTTATCTCTATTATTTGGGGTCAACTTATAAATTTATCTGTATTTGTCTTTAAAATGAAAATGAAGTGCTTATTTTATCATTATTATTATTATTTTTATTCATTTATTATTATGTACCTGTAGTGTGTCTTTGTAGTTTCATATTATATTATCTGTCCAGGAGCTTTGGTTCCTGCTAGTATAAAAATGAAGAAATTACATAAATATCTGGTTTAGTTTATGGTATTACAAAAATAACGAATGCTTTCCATTTTTATGATATTTCTGTTTTTTGGACTTTGTAATAATTTTTCGTAAAAAGACAGAACTACCTATTTTCGGTTGTTCAAAAACTGAAATCATGTCAAGTTCGGTTTTTGAAAAATCTCTCTTGTGGGTCCTTTGCGTATTCTCTCTCTACCTCTCACTCTATCGACTAATCAAGTTCAAAATTCGATTTTTTTTTAAATTTGGTTTTTGAACAACTGAATTGTTTTTAAATTCGATTTTTGAACAACCGAATTCTCTCTCTATACCTTTTTCTTTCACCCCACGCTTTACCCTATCTTTTTCCTTTGAACTCTTGTCTATGTTCATCCATTCTCTCTCTATACATTACATTGGGTAGGTTTTTTGAAATGAAGCAAAGTGGCAATCGCAGAGATCCCTTATAAAAAACATTCTTTGTTAATATTAGAAGAGACAACGTACTAGTTCAGATCATTGAAATAGTATTGGGAGAAGCTAATCTTTATCTCTCTAGATTATTCATTGGGAGAAGCAATGAATAATCTCGACTGTATGCTCACTAGCATCTTGGTTTTCTTTCTCGCCTTCATTGACAAGGATCGAGAGCTCATAGCCTTCAAATTGGTTACCCCACCAAGAAATCGGCATCCAAAAACCTCTCTAAGAAGAAAATTAAAAACTAACCTCTCTCTCTCTCTACAAAGAAAACCTAAACTCTCACTTCCTCTCTCTCTCTCTCCCTCTGTCCCCCTCTCTCTGATACTCTCTCTCCCACCCTCTCTTTCTCTCTAGAAAAACCTAGAAAACTTACATAGAAATTTAGCCCTAGATTAACCCAATCCTCTCTCTTTCCCTTCAACATGCACTCTTTCTGATTTTATATCAAAAACTCTCTCTTTAATAAGAAACTTGGAAAATTTATGCTAAAATTGTAAGTCCTAGCTCTCTCTGAGTGCGAAGACTTTAAAGACTTAGAAAACCTGCAAAAATTGCAGAATTGCAGAAAATAAAAAGCTTTGTTGTGTTGATGACCCAGCCCATAATTTGCATTGGTGTGTTGATAACCCAGCCCATAATGCCTCTCTTTCAAGAAGAGATCTCTCGTCAATTCAAGCTATGGGAATATCCAAAAAGGCCGAATTCTTTTCTCAAGACAAGCTGGGTGAAACTTACAAAACAAAAAAAAAAAGCTGGGTGAAGGAGAGAGATCCAGAAAAAAGAAGCTGGGTGAAGGAGAGGGATCCAAAAAAAAACTGTTTTTACTCATATAATGTAGAGAGAGAAAAAAAATAAAATTTTTGATTTTTCAAAAACTGAAATTGGCTTGATTTCGGTTTCCAAAAAAACTAAAAAGGGCTTCTTTTTTTTAAAAAAAAAATGTTATGAAGTCTAAAAAACTAACATCCCGGTAATAATGGAAAATATTATGTATTTTGATAATAACGGAACTAAAACGGATATTTACGTAATTTTCCACATAAAATTTTACCGCGATTCCACTTTTTCTTTTAGAGAATGACCGGTTGATAAAAAAAATAGCCCTAAGAAATGTTTATCACAAAATTGACCCTTTTCATACGAAAAGAATTCCCTATCTCATGATGTCGCCATTTTTTATATCGAACCTCAATTAAAATATCTCAATATTTAGGTTTTAGATAGAAAAACTATCTCAAAATTTAATATTAGAGAGATAAACTATATTTGAAGTTTTAAAGAGAGAAACTATATCAAATTTCAGATTTTAGAAAAACTACCCAAAATTTTTAAAGAGAAACTTTATTAAAGTTTTAAAGATAGAAACTATCACAAATTTTAAGTTTTTAGAGACAAAATTAATCTTAATATTTTTAGAAAGATAAACTATCTCAAAGTTTAAGTTTTAGAGAGAGAAACTATTCCAGTTTTAAGTTTTAGAGAGAATCTATTTCCAAATTTTTAGAGGGAAAAACTATATCAAATTTCAAATTTTAAAGGGAAACTATCTCAAAATTTTAGATAGAGAAACTATCTTAAAATTTTTAGAGAGAGAAACTATCTTAAAGCTTTTCGAGAAAGAAACTATCTTAAATTCCAATATTTTTTAGTTTCCATGCAATCTTTTTAGGAAAAAGAATCCAATTAGCGTAAAAAAGTTTCACTAGAAGAGGTTGTTTTGATGCCCAAATATCTTTAAATTAATCATCTTGACATCAAGATGCACGGATATGAGAAAAAAATGGATTTCAAGTTTTGGAAATAGTGCATCTTAAAATGTCTTTTTGGACGGTCAATTTTCAAGATTTACAAGTTTTCATAGATCTGGTTGATCTGTACTATTTTTAAAGCTTTAAATTTTATAATTAAAGATGAAAATATATTTTAAGGCTATCACAAAGATTTTCAATATTGAAACCACATTTTTTACGCTATTTGAAGGTGCGCTCTACTTTGATTGTTTAGTGCCTCGGCTTTATACACACCGCACCCATCATTTTATGGATGCTTGTTTTTTTGTCTGGGTTCTCTCTCTATGCCTATTTCCAAGTGCGTATACCAAATACGGGAAAGTTAGATTGGGGTAATTCTTTCCCTTAGATTGTTTGCATATATAAATATTTTTCCTATAGATATTTTCATGTCAAACTATTCCGGGCAAAGCAAACAACTATTTTCAGGTGGGTGCCACTTTACCAAAACAACTGTTGTACGTGGATTGAATGCTACAGCTGGAATGAGGAATGCAAAAATTGTAGACCCCCTTTGGAAGTATGTTTTTGGTGTGGAAGCGCAGCTCAGGTTGCTTTTAGTTGAAATAATAAAAAACAAAAAAAAGATTTCAAGTCTAAAAAATAATACATCTTGTAATATATTATCTACATCATCTATTTTCAAGATTTTTATGTATTTCATAGATCTGCTTGATTTGAATAACTTTTAGAGTTTAAAGTTTTGTAATTAGAGATGAAAAGAAATTCTTGGGCCATTCCAAGAATTTTATACGTCAAAATTACATCTTATGATAAAGTTTGGATTTACGCCTTACTTTGATTGTTTAAGTCACATGCATTTTATTTAAATAGTGTAGATTAATATTGTCTTAAAAGATATGTCATATATATACTGTTCGTTTAAAATAAATGGAGCAAAACAATACTGTCTATTTAAAATAAATGGAGTAAAACAATACTGTCTATTTAAAATAAATGGAGTAAACCAATACAAGTTTACTTCTATAAGTAAGGTCATCACCTTATATAAACGTCACCCTTATTCAAAATAACATATTAATTTAGATAAATGTTAGTAGAACTAGATCGGCCATTGAACAATGAGGCGTTTGGTCCACTAAAAACTTGTCCGATCGTCAATCATTATATTCAGAAATTAAGACAAATGAGAATTATAGTTGTCAAACTTTTTTTAGCCAATCCAATAGGTCAAAACCCGTTAAATATTGATTTGATCAAGTTTTATCAAATTTTATTTTTACTTTGGACAATATAGACAAACGTGCTACTCGATGGTGGTCCAACCATTTAGTGTCCTTATCTATGATTTAATGTAGGGCTTAAGTGAGGCAAAATAACAAATTGGGGTTTTTTTTTTTTTCATGGCTTAGTACCGCTGTGAAGAGAGGGAAAGTTCCCATTTTATTAGCCCATGTGATGATCTTACTAGTCTAATAATTACCATTAATATCTAGAATTGCAGCTAGAGTTTTTATTTTAGGGGAAATATTGCATGGACCTCTCAAAATTCATTTAATTTCATAATAACCCTTCATTATTCTATTGTGCAGCATTAATTTATATACGTATATATCAATCCATCCCCTCCTTACATCTCTCCTCGTCATTCTTTACTTTTACATCACTAACTACTACAAAGAATTAATTTTTTATTTAAATAACTCTCATTTTCCATCTCTTGCTTTCTTGAGAAAGAAGACAGAGATGTTATTGGGAAAAAATATTATATATTTTGTTTGGGGCAGTTACTAGGGTAAAAATATAAAAAAAAGATAAAGAATAAAAAAGTGAGAAAGGGTAGGATGATATATACTTCTAAAAATTAATGCCATAGGGTATAGAGGGGAGACAATTTACTAACCCTTAATTTATTGTGCGGCATTAATTTTTATAAGTATGTATATGCTTCCCCCTTCTCACATTTCTCCTCTTCATTCTTTAATTTTATATCACTAATTGTCGTAAAGAACTAATTTTTTATGAAAATAACTACTCCCCTTCTCATCTCTTACTTTTTTCAGAAAGAAGATAGATTGGGAAAAAAATTATAGGGGAATGATTTAATGCAACGATTGTATAGTAGTATAATGCAATCATATTAAAAAACCAAGTTAAAGACATTTGTTGAAACGATTTTTTATATGTACTCTCTTTTCATTATGGAGAAAATCACAACAAAGAAAATTTTGAAAAAATGCTCTAGAAAGTCTTCATTCTAGCCCAATAAATATAAGCCGTCCATTTTATTGAGATGGTTAGAAATAGGTCTCATAAGGATTTTTTTATTTCCAAAATTTTTATATAGCGTTATCATCATTAGATTAATAATGTTAAAAAATAAAAAGGCGATTTTGAATTTGTTACGGTCTAGATCTTGAAATTCACCAAATGGATGGTCGAGATTCATTGTTGGATGGGTACTAAT